AGAGGCCCCAAGAGGCCCCCAAGAGGCCCCCAAGAGGCCCCCAAGAGGCCCCCAAGAGGCCCCCAAGGCCCCAAGAGGCCCCCAAGAGGCCCCCAAGAGGCCCCCAAGAGGCCCCAAGGCCCCAAGAGGCCCCCAAGAGGCCCCACGAGGAGCCCGAACGACTCACACCAGGACGAGGGGCCCGAACGACTCACACCACGAAGAGCCCGAACGACTCACACCACAAGGAGGGGCCCGAACGACTCACACCAGGACGAGGCGCCCGAACGACTCACACCACGAGGAGCCCGAACGACTCACACCACGACGCGGGCCCCGAACGACTCACACCACGAGGAGCTGGAACGAGTCACACCAGGAGGAGGGGCCCGAACGACTCACACCAGGACGAGGGGCCCGAACAACTCACACCACGAGAAGCCCGAACGACTCACACCAGGACGAAGAGCCCGAACGACTCACACCACGAAGAGCCCGAACGACTCACACCAGGAAGAAGGGCCCGAACGACTCACACCAGGACGAGAAACCCCAAACGACTCAAACCACGAGGAGCGCTTTCTCTCCCTCCTCCTCCGCCTCGTCCTTCTCCCGCTCCCCCCACAAGGAGGATGTACAAGGAGGCGGGAGGAAGGAGGAACAGGGGAGATATGCGGGGCCAAGCGGACACACGCCTGAAAAACACGACTGCCGGCATGCTTCGCAAGAGTTGCTGTTGTGAGATGGGTTAGTGGGGATACGCGAAGCGTAAAGAATTGCAGATGTCTCTCGGGTTGGGGGCGGCTCGTTTTCAAAATGTGGCCCTCGCCTTACTGCCATGCACATTCGTTTCAAAAAGTCGCGAGAAGTTCATCCATTCTCATCGTCAACGTACCAACGGTGGTTTGGAACGATTCAGGACTCTCGGGTCGCAGCAGTCAATTTGATTCGCGGAATGGTGTTCTGACGCGACGCAGGATGTTTTGGCACGATGTCGGAATGTCAGGGCGCAACAGTCACGTTGATTCGCGGTGTTGACGTCCCAAGAATGGTGTTTTGCCACGATCATGATCGTCAAGACGTTACAATAACGGTGATTCGCGGCGTGGACGTCCCAGGAATTATGTTCTGGCACAGCTGCAGATTTTCAAGCGGTTGTCTTTCGACGGGCCACTTCCCTCTGTGAAAATTAAACCTGGTGGATGGGGCATATGAAGAGGGACCTTGGAGGAAAGGTTTATGGCAAGATCGTTGATGAGTATTGTCTGAATCCTCCTCCTCCTCCTCCTCCCCCTCCTCCTCCTCTTCCTCCTCGTCCTCCTCCTTTTTGCCGTCGAGCGGACTTCAAGCGCGGCGCGCCAGCCGAAGGCCCAGACATGCGGCATGAGTTTTCAAACGGATTTCCAGGCGAGAGCGCCCTGAGGCTGCCAGGATCGTGCCGAACGACCGCCGGAGGCACGAAGTACGACTCAAAAACCGAATGATTCGGCGATGGTTTTTGTTGAACCGGTGGTTTTTCCTGGACTTCAAACGGTCTGGAATTGGGGGGCTACTAGTCTGGGGGCCTCTCCAGTCTCCATCATCGCCCTCCTGAAGGGGTGCGGAGAGTGTCGGTAGCACCCCTCTAGAACCACCGCGGTTCTCTCTCACGAAGTAAGTAAGAAACAAAAACAGAATCGAAGAGATTCGCTCGTAGCGTTGATTGACTCAGGGTCCCCTCGGAATTTGATCAATAACCGCGTCGGCGCGAACTCACGCGCGCGACAGCACACGTACATCAAATCTCCACAAACCATAAACAGCGCTGCTGTACTGCAACACATTATCATGATAAGTGAAACTACATTGGCACGGGTCCTGCGCCATTGACACAGAGGGGAAAAAGAAAGCCTCCTGGCCCTTCTCCCAAGGAATACGAAACGCGTTCGCATCCATGCCGCCGTATCTTACCAGGGGTGATCTTCCATCCTCAATGATGCGATCTGTTCAAACTCTCGCAAATACTGAAACCTCGGCGTGGCTAGGTCACGCCTGTACGTGCACTGGTTCTGGGTGCTGGCCGCGCGCGCAAGTTTTGCGTTGCCCAGCCCTCTCTCGTCGTTCGCCCCATGCTCTATCGTCGCTGCGTCGGCCCTCTGCTCGGCCATCGCACGTGCATCTCGATGCACGCGCACCTCGCCCATCTGCTTCTGCCACGTCGAATACTTAAGCCAGAACGTAGCCGCCAGCGTGCTTCCACAACAAAATATAGTCGCCATCGTCAGAACAAACAACGAAACCAAAAATCAGGGAAACTCCGTCTCGACCGTCTCGATCCTCTCGCCCTTGACACATTCCGTAGCCGCCGCTGCCACAATCCGCGCAATCCCCCCGGCAGATCCTCGCGAGCTTCATGCTCGCCTAATCTACAATCACCAGCTGCGTCGGCTGTCCGTCGTCGATCCTGGCATCCTCGATCACGGAAATCACGTAGCCGCCCTGCGATTCGCCATTTGGCCTCGCAGCCCAGGACGCGCCCCAGAAGACTCGAAGCCTCAGCTTGCCCCAGGCCCCCACGCACTTGATGCGGATCCCCACATCGCCACTCACCTTCAGGAACCTCAGCCACTTCTTGGCCTCCAGCAAGCTACCGACCGTCGCCTTGCTGACGTCGCCCTGCGCGAACGATACCGTCGCCGCCGCCAGCACCGTGCACTGGGACGCTGGCCCGCCACTGCATGGCTCCGTTCAGTCCTCTGGGCTGACTGATCTCCTTCGGCGCGCACGGGTCGCCTGGATGCGTCGCCCTCGTCTTATCGGCGCTAATCGGCTTCACCTCGTGCATGTAGGCCTCGGCCTTCACCTCAATCTCATCGCGTGAAAACGACGGCGCGTTCTCGATGCCACAGAAAGAGATAGTGATCGAGAACTCCCACTTGCCGAACTTGAACCTCCGGCCGAGCCCCTGCACCCGGCCCACGAAGGTGCCCTCGCACGCTTACTCGTTGCAAAGGCCACCCTCGCGCTCGAAGTTCTCGCCGACGCCGACGAAGTCGCCCATGCGCAGCCAAAGCACGCCGCCCACCACGTAGCGCTGGTCGGCGCCCGCCTGCCAGATCAGAAACGGATCGCCCCCGCCCAGGCGCCAAGCGGCACGACAGGAAACACCATGTCCAGCGCGTGCTGCAGGATGCCAATCTCGAGCATGACCCCCGCGATCGTCTGATTCCACTGCCTAGGGGCTCGCACGTTTCTCAGAACGGGCTTCAGCACGTGCAGGATCTCATCGTCCTGCAGGCCAATCATCTTCGCCAGTCGACGTCGCGCGTCCCTGGTCGGCCTGCTGACTATCCGAACTCCTTGCTCTCCGATGTCCTTCGCCTGAAGGAATGCACACTTCACGTGCGCTGCCACCATCTTTCAAGCTCGCTGGCGCAGAATGAGTCGACGCACGCACCGGCTCTTGTCAGCCGGTCCTCATGCTCGACGCCGTTCTCGTCTTCTGCATCCTCAACATGATTCGCCTCATCGAAGTCCACCGCCGCTTCGTCCAGCCCTCTCTCGGCTTGAGCTCGTCCTTTATGATGAATCCTCTTGCCTGCCGCGAACGTCGCGGTCGCGTCGCACTTGAGCGCGCGCGTCATCCTTCTCAGCTTCTCCACTAACTGCTGCCGCACCTGTAGCTTCGCAAGACCGTCCACCATCTGCTGATGCGCGTCGGTCCATCCCCGTACACCTCCGAACTCCCGCAGCTCCTCATTGACCTGCAAGATCTCGACCCCGGCCCTGCGCTCCGTCAAACCTCTGGCTGCCGCTCGAGAGAGAGAGAGAGTTCGCCGCGTTGCACAGCGCCCTGCAGTCCGCGATACATGGGCTGCGCCCCAATACCTTCAACATCTCCGCGCCTGCCAGCTGCATCGCGGGGAAGAGCATCGTCGTGTGCATAATATTCACAAACTCCAGCGCGCCCACCGCGTTCGCCGCGCCCTGAGCTTCGCCATGTTGGCCACCTCTTCCAGGTGAAAGCCTTGTAGGGTCACTCTCGCGCTGGCCTCTTTCACTCCATCCTTCATTTTCCACTTCAGCAGGAAACGCATGGGGGGCACTTCTCCAGCGCCCGCCACGATCTCCCCAACTGCCTGCCACGCTTGGTTCTCGACCCATGGCTGCAGCGCCTTGGTCTTCGCCTCGTCGAACTGCCTCCGCCCGCCTAAACTTAGCCTGGTTCCCTCCACCGGGCCCTTTCTCTGGCCGCGCTGGCCAGGTAGACCGCGCCCGCGCCCTCGCACAGTAGCAATAGCTCGTCGCCTTCACCGCTGCTCGCTGCACTGTCCGCCGTCGTCACGTCGGTCTGCTTTGGTCTCTTCGGTAGCGGCCGCAATCCGCCCTGTCGCCTTGCCGCGTCGACGGCGCCCAGCAACTCAGGACCTGATCCAGCCGGCGCCTTCTCGCGCCCCACCTCTGGGCCCTCCGCGTCCTGCGACGCGTCAGCCGAAACGTCCAGGCGCGGGGGCTCGGACGCCGTGGGCGCCTGCATCTCGGTTGCCGTCGTCGCTCTGCTCGCCCTCGCGGCGCTCGCCGTGTCGATCCGCCTCGGTCGCCTCCACCTGGCCGTCGGCGTCGACGCCCTTCATATCCATCTGCATGGGGAAAAGCTCGTCCTCGCAATCCCCCTGCCGATCGGAAACTCCACCCACGCGGTCCGCTTCGTGGACCCGCTGATGTTCTTCAGCATCTCTAGCACTCGCTCGGCCGTTGACAGTGGCAACCCGCGATCGCCATCTTCTTCTTCACTTCGCCGTCGCTCCTCTGGCAGTTCGGCTCGCAACAGCTCGCGCGTCGCCCGCAGGAGCGCTGCCATGCGCACACACACACACACACTCTTTCTTTTTTATCTCTCTCTCTCTCTCTCTCTCTCTCTCTCTCTCTCTCTCTCTCTCTCTCTCTATCTCTCTCTCTCTCTCTCTCTCTCTCTCTCTCTCTCTCTCTCTCTCTCTCACACACCGCAGCACTGACTGTCTAAATTTACCTGGATCGTCCGCGCACTCGACCTGCGCGATCATCGCCAGCCCGCCCCAGAAGCTCTCGATGAGGTCGCGCTCGCCTTTGTCGCGCCTCCAGAAGTACACCCGCTCACCAGCCTGGAACTCTCTCGAGGGGGGCCAGTTCTTGGCCGCCAGCACCCCCCGAACTGCCCTCGCCACGCTCGCCGCCAGAAAAGACTTGCCCGCGGCCCGCCCGCGCGCCAGGTTGCGGTAGAACTCCTTGTCGCGGTCGCCGAGGTCGCCTGTAGTTGTCGGCTCGTCGGCCAGGCTGCCCAGGTTATTTGGCTGTCTTCCTAGCGCCCGCTGCGATGACGCGAAGCCCTTGACGTCGCGCAGCTGGCCGCGCGCGTCGCAGGTCATGCGCGCCGCAAGCTTCAAGCTATCCGCAGGATGATATCCACGACATCGTGCTATCTGCTCCCGTCGCACCTGATGATTCCGCTCGAGTACGCCGAGTCGAGGATGAGCATCCCTTGATATCAGCTGCAGCTCGATCTGCCGACCGTCGCACCACCCCATAAACTCGCCACTCACGCGCACGCTACTCTGGCCAGCTCGAATCTTGGCCGGCGCCGCGGCCCTGATGATCCAATGTTTCTCGAACGCCCGGGTCTCGGCGCGCGTCGCCTCGCCCTTCGCCGCTGCATCGACCTCGAACCTTGAGCTCTCGTCCACGATGGCGAATATCACATTGCGCCTGATCTTCCACGCCACGCGGAACGCGTCGACATCCACGGCGCCGTTAAATCCTCGACACCGCGGGACGCGGGCGACTCGCACTGACTTCGGCCTCTGCCGCTTGAGGCATGTCTCGCATATGTATATCCTCGCACAGCTGATCAGTCGGTCGCCCGCGTTCATCTCCCTCAACGCTGCCGCGAACGCCTCGCTCGAGGGATGGCCCAGCTGGACATGTAGTTGCACTGCCCACTTGACCTCCTCGATGGTGAACCTCTCCAGCAGCGCCTCCCACGCAATCCTGCACTCGGTCTCGTCGAGACCCTCACGGGCCATCTCTTCCACCGCGTAGCCGGCCTCGTTCTGCGGATCGCCCACGATGCAGATCGCCGCCTGGAATGCCACCTTCCTCGGGTAGTTCTCCACGCTACGCACGTTGCGTCGACCCTCGAGACTCACGGGTTTCTCCTTGCACCTGCATGTCTTCCAGAGTCCCTCGTACATTTGGAGCGTCGTGGTCCGTGCGTTGGTCGGCTTCTTGATCGGTTCAAGCCGTCAACCTGCCAAGTCCAACTCCATGAGTCCGTAGGCGCACTGGTCCACGAACGCGTCGTAGCCCGCCATGCCGCACCACGCCTCGGCCCCCCACGACGTCGCGCATCGAGGGTGCTCTAGATGAGCGCGCCCCTCCACCCGCTGCTGCGCCTCGTAGATCCCCCTACTGAAACTCAGAAATTCAGCTGCTGCTTGGCACGCTCTCTCCGCCGCTGCTGTCAGCATTCGTTGCTCTTGTTCGCTTCCGCCAGCGCGCTGATTGCAGATCGCATAGGGCACGGCGGCGCTGCCCACACTTCCTCGGGCCTCTTCTTCGCCAGCCCCCGCATGAATGCCTTGCGACGCGAGCCGTTCGCGAAGTCCCACCCTGTCTCCAACGTAAACTTCTCCACCCTGAAGTCTCGGCATTTCTCAACGCGGTGCGCGATGCGTCATCCTGCCGCGAAGATCTATGAGAACCGCCGCTTAGTCTTCGGCTTGCTGTCCAAAGCGCGGTTGGTCTCTGCGACCCAATCCTCCAGCTGCTTCGCATTGAACGTCGCGGTCTCCGCATTCTCGCTTCCGGCGTCGCCGTAACTGCTGGTCACGAAGAAGTCCGTTTCCTTCTCGCTTTACACCTTGCGGTCGCCGTCGGCACCCGCGCCCGTCGAGCTCGACCCACCATCTGCCGCTTGCACGCCAGACGGGAAGCTGAGCAGATCGATGATCACATGGCCTTTCTCATTCGTCTCCATGTCGATCCACTCTGGCGGCTGCTCGTCTAGATACATCACCTTCTCGTTGCGGCAGTCGAGCACCATGCCCCACTCCTCGAGACAGGGCCTTGCCACTAGCAAAGAGAGACACTTGGCGTGAAACGATGTAGACCGTTATCTGCCACTTCGCGCTCTCCACCCAGACAGGGAACGCCACCTGCGGCTTCGCCGTCGCAGTCTCGTCGCTGCCAAAAAGAAACGTACCGCGGCACCTCGCCGTCTGGATCTCGCTGGACAAGCCCATCATCCGCAATTTCTCGCGCCATGCTGGCCACTCCTAGAGACCCATCACCGGTTTCGTCGCTCCACTGTCGCCGACACTTATGCCCATAGCCATGTTCACCTCGTCTATCGTCGTCGCTTCGGGGCTCAGTGCGATCTCCGTCACCGTCAGAGACACCACGTATCTCGCACAGCATCTTCGCCTCCTCGGGCCCGTCGGCCGCTGCACCACCCCGTCGCCGCTTGGATCGTGGCCCGCGCTGCTGCGCCACACCTGCCGTTGTCATCTCAGGCGGGCCGTCGGGATGCCACCTACCCTTGGCTCCACCTCCGCCTCCACATGGTGCTCTGCCGCCGTATATGCCTCTTGCTTTGCCTTCACTTGAGCTCCCACGTGACTTGCCGCATCCCGAGCCTGTTCGTCCTCGCCCATTGGGCGGCCGCACATTGCCCGCCCGCGGCGGCGGCAATCCTCGCCGGTCATCCCTCAACGCCACCACCGAGTAAAATCCCCTCGCTGTCGCCAGCTCTCTCGTCTTCGCCCAGGCCTCCGAGCAGTTCGCGCGGGCCGCCCCCGTCGCTTCGCGCGCGCCCTCGAGCCCCTCGGGCACGCCGTTCGTTCCACTCTGAAAACTGCCGCAGCTCACACGATGGACGAATCCCCAGCGGCACCTCCGCACACATGCCGGCGCGGCCCGCAGGGGCGCCGCGGGACTTCCTGCCCAAAGCTGCGACCCGGCAGCGAGGCCGACATTCGGCCACTGCCCGGGCCCATCAAGGCGGGAGCACCTGGACCGGCCTGCCAGCGCCCCACCTGTAGACTCGCATGCCCGTCGTCGACGAGTCGCAAGCCCAGACAAGTCTGACTGAGTGGATTAAGCCAGACAAAGTCTTGCTCGCAAGAAGGAAGACGACGACGAAGACGGGAGGGAGGCGAGCGAACGCCTTCGTCGAACGGCCCGGGGCAGGGAGCGCTCTGCTCGGCCGCGCCCCGCCGGCCATCTGCGACGCAAAGTCAGACGCGCCACAAGGATGGAGGAAGAGAGGCGGGAGAGGGCAAGAAAAGGCTGCAAGGCCGCGCCTACGGGCGCTCGGCCCGACATTCCGCACCAGCAATCGGCCTCCGGGCCCGAGAGAGGAGGGGGGGCAGGGAGGAGAGGAGGGGGGGGGGGGGGGGCAGCAAGCAGGCAGGCAAGCAAAGGGCGGCGGGGGGAGCACGGCCGCGAGGCGCGAGCCACCTGACCCCGCCGGTTAGGCGCGCGCGCGTGCTGGGACGGGGGCGGGCGGGGATGGGACGGCGGGGGGGCCCGCGCCAGCGTGGGCGGGCGGGCCGGCGCCCCTGCGCGCCACCCCCGCCGGGCCAGCAGGCCCGGACGCGGGCGGCCGCCTGCCGGCACAGCGCCACGCCATCCGCGCTGGCCAGGCGGCGGCACCGCCGCGCCCCGCCCGAGCATCCCCCCCGCAGGGCAAGGCGGGTCGCGAGCGCGCGGAGGATGGATGTCGCCCGGAGGCGGGGCCGCCCATAGGCTGACCAAACCAAGGGCTGGTAAAGGATGTTCTGGCGGTCCACAGCATCGCTGTAAGGGGCGCAGTACGCCGTCTCGCGCTCGCACATGCTGGAGACGCAGTCCCGGCCGGCGCTGCGCGCGCCGGGGGAGGCGAAACCTACGTCGAGCGCCGTGAGCCCGTGCCCCAGCGCCCCCGTCAGACGTCAGCACGTCCGCAGGCGGGTGCCCAGGATGAGGTTATGCGCCTCGAGCTCGGCGGCGGGGTCGCAGCACTTGGCAGCCTCGTGCACCTGCCGTGCGAGCGCGCGGTGGCCCCTCGTTGCCTCGGCCCTGCTGCAGCAGAGGGCGCGCGAGCCCGCGAAATCGAGCAGCTCAGTGCCGCAGAGGTTGCAGGGGGTGGGCTCGCTGGGGCCGGCGGCGCCGAGGCGCAGTCGGAGCGCCCCGACGAAGTCCCGGTGGTCGAGAAGGGGCCCCTTGTGCCAGCTCAGAGCCCAGAGCCACTCGTGGCTGGTGTCGGGGTGGCTGAGGTCCTCCAAGCGGCGCAGCGCCGGGGTGATGCAGGCCTGCGCGTGGCGTTCGCGCAGCTCCAGGCTCGCCTGCGCGTCGAGGCGGGCCAGGATGGCCCTCTGGAGGCGGGCGCGGCCGCGGGGGGCAGCAGCTGGGCGCTCGTCGCCCTCGCCCTCGTCGAGGGGGGCGACGCCGCTGCCCATGCGCCGGGGCCGGCCGTTCCGTCCAGGAGCGCCGTCGTTCGCGGGTACGCTGGCGTCGAAGAGGCCGGCCCACCGATCCTCGCACTGGTCGGCCTCGTCTGCGAGGAAATCCAGGAGCTGCCTTCCCAGGGTCGGAGGGGGGAGCCCCATCAGCTTGACCGCGGCCTCTTCCGCGCGCCGATCGCAAGCCCCATGACCGCGGCCGCGGTGCACGGGCCGGCCAGGGCGAGGCGTTCGGCCATCTCGCGGACGCGCGGGCGGGAGCTCACGCGGCTGGCGAGGAAGGCGGCCGTGGAAACGCGTTCCGCGGTGCGTAGACCGAGGCCGCCACAGGAGACTCCAGCGGTGGCTTGCTCCCAAGCGTCGTCTGGCAGGTCGCCGCCCACGACGTTCTCCACTGCGGTGCACAGATCTCTGTCGAAGGTGGCGAGCTGGTCGCGGCCGATCCTGCCCCCGCTGAGGCGCAGCTGGTAGGAGAGCTTCGACACGTCGGCGCACAAGCGGGTCAAAACAAGCTGGGTGGGGGCGTGGTTCACGGTGAGAAGCGCGAGGCGGGCGGCCTGGGCCTTCTCCGCGACTGCTTCGACCTCGTCGCCCAGAGCCTCTTCGCCGGCGAAGGGGGAGCCCAGGGCGAGCGCGGGGCCGCGTGGGTCGAGGACGTTGCAGGCGGCGCGCACGTAATCGGTGCCCCAGCCGACGTGGAAATGGCACTGCTCAGGCGGGCAGAGCAGGCGACAGGAGCTCTTGGCCGCGCCCTCGGCGACAGGGCCGCGGGTGCCACCGGAGCGAGCGAGGCTAGCGTCTAGTGCCCTGAGCCAAGGGTCAAGGTCTGCTGGCCAGACGAATAGCTCCTCGGGGATCGGCCCCTCGTCTTCCTCATACCACACGTCGTCTTCCCAGTACAGCTCGTCCATGCATTCATCCTCGCACCAGTAGGCATCGTCGTCCTCTGCTTAGTCCCAGTAGGCGTTGCCACCTTCGAAGTTTTGCCCCGGCGCGTGCTCGGCGCTCGATGTCCTTTTTGCGCACTGCGCTGTCGCCACTGGACATCGTCTCGAGTGATTCTGCCACCACCTGCACTATGAGCTTGTTATTGCACAGCGCCTTGAAGTTCGGAATCTGCCATCGTGGAATCGCCGACCTCGTCATCATGTGCCAACCCGCCTGCAAGTCCAGTAAATCCAGCCCTGCTTCTTTTGTTCGACACTTCCTGGCCGCGTCGCAACACATACGCGTTCAAAGTCTCCTTCGGCAACCTCGAGATCTCTCGAACGAACGCGTCGCATCTTCCTGACAACTCCACTCCCTGCGTGCATATGTACAGAACGTCCAGCTTGCCATCTCATCGAGCGCTCCCCTCGTGACCATCCTCTCGAAGCTGATATTCGCGCGGGCGTCCAGGGCATCGCCTTGCAGCGCCTGCAGCAAGAGGTATGCTCTTTCACTCACGACCCTATCCCCTCGGCGCTGACACAATCGCTGGAACACCGCCGTTCTCTTTCTGATGATGCGGCACGCATCGTGCAGTAGGTCCGTCGCGCCCACGAAACACTTAACCAATCCTGCGTCCATCTGCGGTTATATGTCGCCTCTGCCTCGACCTTGGTCTCGGCCTCCATCACGAAGGTCACTGTCCGCGTCGCCGTCATCCGGCCGAACATTGCCTCCTGGTTGATCCGCTGTGCCGTCGCTGGCATTATCTGCTGGCTGATGGTGCTTGCCCCTGGGTCGTGGGCCGCCGCCGGAGCTGAAGATATCATCTTCCTCTCGGTGAGCGCGAACACCCACGAGCGAAGTTTCCGATTCCTTTTTGCCGCGGATCTGGTGCCACTGGCTCCGCTACCAATGTCGTTAGCACTCCTTTGGAAACACCAAAGTGTTTTCACACAAAGTAGGGAACCAAACAGAACAGAATCAGAAATAGAAGGGGAATCGAAGAGATTCGCTCGTAGTTTTGCTTGGCTCAGGGGCCCCTCGGTATTTGATCAATAACGGCGTCGGTGCGAACTCACGTGTGCGACAGCACACGTACATCAAACCACCACAAATCATATACAGCACTGCTTTACTGCAACACATACTCATGATGAGTGAAACTACGTTGGCACGGGTCCTGTGCCATTGACAGGGAGGGCCCACAGGAAGATGCTCACCCTCCCACGCTGCCCTCCCCACAAACCGGCCACGTCCTCGGGAGTCAGAGGGTCGTGCGTGATGGTGGGGCTCACGTCCGGGTCCGGGTCGACGGCGATGGAGCCCCTCGCAGCAGTCGCCATCGTGACCATGATGGCTGGGCAGCTCCAGGCTCGACTCGGCGCGATCACATGGGCCCATCTCGGGCGGGCGGGGCAGCCCCATGGGGCCCGCCCCTCCACGAGGCAGCTGGGGGGAGGGGGGGGGGGGGGCGAGAGCCCCCCCCCGAGACAAGCCCTTCCTCCGATCGCCCCGCGTCGGGCTTGGAGCTGCGCCGATGGTGTAGGCGTTGGTCTCGAGCGGCCAGGGCTCCCCCTGGAGAGAGAACTGCAGCGGGGCCGACTTCGGGGCGTAGTACAGGGGCATGAACTGCGCGATCGCCTGCTCGCCCACGGGCACGGTGGCCTCCGCGATGACGCTGCTGAAGGCCTCGCGGTCCGCGGGGCCCTCCTTGCGGGAAGACGTGAGACTCGGATTCGGGGGACTCGGGTTGGCCCGCCAGGGCCGTCAGGAAACTGACGAGACCCAATCTGCAATTTGCCACGAACTCCCGCGGCAAACATCTCACGAAAATGGAGCCGTCAACAGTCAAGACGGGCACGTCAAAAACGCAGGCAGACCCAGGACCTGGCAAACTCGAGTCTCGCGCTGCCTCGATCCTTGGAGATGGGCGGCCCCATCATCTGGGAGATGGTGGGCGTGTTCGTGCGCCAAGAAAGCGGCGTCATACGCGGCGCTGTGAGGTTCTTGCCCACGGCGGGCATGTCCCTCACGACCTCCAGGCCCGCCCTGGCCAGGTCCCCCGCGTCCCCGATGCCCGAGAGGAACAGCAGTCTCGGCGTGTACAGGTAGCCAGCCGACACGATCACCTCCCTCGCCGCCATGATGGAGCGGCTCCCCCCGCGCTCCTGCCAACGTGAGGGGGGGGGGGCCAGCTCAATGGGGGGGGGAACATAGATCGGCGAATGGGCCCCCGGTAGCAGATGCGCCCGGTCCTGGGCGGGGCGGGCTCTCGGGCTCCTACCAGCGATGCACTCGCAACAGGGGGTCGATGCATTCCCCCCTGAGCCCATCGCCCCTGAGCCCATCGCCCCCTGAGCCCATCGAGGAGGGGGCGATGGGCTCAGGGGCGATGGGCGATGGGCTCAGGGGGGTCGATCCATTCCCCCCTGAGCCCATCGCCCCCCCCTATGTCGCCCCTCTGGTGGTTTACGGGCCATACCTCGGCTCTCTGGCGGCCGTTCGGGACGATCTGGACACTCGCGGAACGCGTTCGGCGAGGCGGAGCCGCTGAAGGCATCCCGAGGCTGGAAACCCGCCGATAAACGACGAAAACGTCCGAAAACCTCAAAGATCGATTTTTACCTTTTCGCACTGCGTCGGCGAGGGGTGTCTGCAACTGGGTTGACCCGAAAAGCCCGAAAAGCCCGAAAAGCCCGAAGAGCCCGAAAAAGTGCCAGGTTGACCCGAAAAGCCCGAAAAACCCGGAAAGCCCGGAAAAGCCCGAAAAGCCCGAAGAACCTCCCTGGGACCGCTGCTCGAGGAAACATGCACGTGTAACCGGTTCGGGGGGTCGGGCGGGCGGATCGGGCGGGAGGGACATTAAAGAATGACGCGTGCTCGAAAAAACACGCTCATATAACCCTAACGGGCGGTTCGGGACGGGCGAGCGGGTAGAGCGGGTGGGACATTAAAGTATGACGCGAGCTAAAAAAAAAAATTCAACAAAAAAAAACAAAACAAAAAAATTCAAAAAAAAATCAAAAACAAAAAAAAAAAAAAAAAAAAAAAAAAAAAAAAAAAAAAAAAAAAAAAAAAAAAAAAAAAAAAAAAAAAAAAAAAAAAAAAAAAAAAAAACGCACGCGTAACCCTAACGGGCAGGTCGGGTCGGGCCGCCGGACCCTAACGGGCGGGCGGGCCCGGCGGGCGTGAATTTAAAGTATGACGCGTGCTCGAAGTAACACGCAAGCGTAACCCTGACGGGCGGGTCGGATCGGACGCGCACCTTAACGGGCGGGCGGGTTGGGCGGGCGGGATATGAAAGGATGTCGCGTGCTCGAAGTAACACGCACGCGGAACCCTAACATGCGGAGCGGATCGGGCGGGCGGACCCTAACGGGCGGGTCTGGTCGGGCGGGTGGTCGGGCGGGCGGGACATTAAAGTATGACGCATGCTCGGGAAAGAAAAAAACAAAAACCAAAAAAAAAAAAAAAAAAAAAAAAAAAAAAAAAAAAAAAAAAAAAAAAAAAAAAAAAAAAAAAAAAAAAAAAAAAAAAAAAACGCACGCGTAACCCTGACGGGCGGGTCGGATCGGATGCGGACCTTCACGGGCGAGCGGGCCGAGCAGGCGGGACATTAAAGTATGACGCGTGCTCGAAGTAACACGAACGCGGAATCCCAACGGGCGGATCGGATCGGGCGGGCGGAGACTAATGGGCGGGTCGGGTCGGGCGGGCGGGACATTAAGTATGACGAATGTTCAAAAAACACGCACGCATAACCGTAAGGGGCGAGTCGGATAGGATGCAGACCTGAACGGGCGAGCGGGTCGGGCGGTCGGGACATTAAAGTGTGACGCGTGCTCCAAGTAACACGCACGCGAAACTCTAACGGGCGAATCGGATCGGGCGGGCGGACCCTAACGGGCGGGCGGATCGGGTCGGGCGGGCGGAAATTCAAATTATGGCACAACGCATGTTCAAGAAAACACGCACGCGTAAACCTGATGGGCTGGTCGGGTCGGGCGAGCGGACCCTAACGGGCGGGTCGGGTCGGGCGGGCGGATCATTGAAGTATGACGCGTGCTCGAAGTAACACGCACGCGTAACGCTACCCAGCGAATCGGCTCGGGCGAGCGAACTCTCATGGGAGGGTCGGGTCGGGCGGGAGGGACATTCAAGTATGCCGCATGTTTAAATATAAAAGTATAGATGTATACATACAAATATGCATGCATACATACATACATAAATACATACATGTAAACAGAAATACATACATACATGCATGCATACATACATAGATACGTACCTACATGCACGCATGCATAAATACATACATACAGACATGCATACATATATACATATATATATGCATGCATACATACATGCATACATGCATACATGCATACATGCATGCATGCATGCATGCATACATACATACATACATACATGCATACGTGCATACATACATGCATGCATGCATGCATACATACATTCATGTGTACACACACACATACATACATACATACATACATACATACATACATACATGCATGCATACATACATACATACATACATGCATGCAAACATACATACATACATACATACATACATACATACATACATGCATGCATGCATGCATGCATGCATGCATGCATGCATGCATGCATGCAAACATATATATACATACATGCATGCATATGTGTACACATACATACATGCATGCAGGCACGCATACATACATGCATACACACATACATACATGCATGCATGCATGCATGCATGCATGCATGCATACATACATACATACATACATACATACATACATGCATACATGCATGCATACATACATTCATATATACATGTGTATACATAACAAGAAATATATCATAACAATAATATAAAAATACAAAAACCAAGCAAACAAACAAAAATGCACGCGTAACCCTAACGGGCAGGTCGGGTCGGGCGAGCGTACCCTAACCAGCGGGTCGAGTCGAGCGGGCGGGACATTAAAGTATGATGCATGCTCGAACAACACGCACGTGTAATCCTAACGGGCGGGTCCGATCAGATGCGGACCCTAACGGGCGGGCGGGTCGGGCGGGCCGGACATGAAAGTATGACGCGAGCTCGAAGCAACACGCACGCGCAACCTTAACGGGCGGATCGGATCGGGCGGGCGGACCCTAACGGGCGAGTCGGGTCGGGCGGGCGAGACATTAAAATATGACGCATGTTCGGAAAAACACGCACGCGTAACCGTAACGGGCAGGTCGAGTCGGGCGAGCGGACCCTAACGGGCGGAACGGGGCGGGCGGGCAGGACATTAAAGTATGAGGCATGATTTAAAACAAAACAAAACAAAAAAAAGCTCGTGTAACTCATGGGCGGGTCGGGTCGGGCGAGTCGGGTCGGGCGGGCTTTTCGGGTCAACCTGATTAGCCCGAAAAGCCCGAAAAGACCGAAAAGCTCGCCGCTCGAGACATCCTCGCAACTCTGGCGCCGCCGCTCGAGACATCGTCGCAACTCTGGCCAGCGTAGCCCGAAAAGCCCGAAAAGCCCGAAAAGCCCGAAAAGCCCGAATAAGCCGAACAGCCCGAAAAGCTCTCCGATCGAGACATCCTCGCAACTCTGGCGCCGCCGCTCGAGACATCCTCGCAACTCTGTCCCGAAAAGCCCGAAAAGCCCGAAAAGTTCGCCGCTCGAGACATCGTCGCAACTCGGACACCGCCGCTCGAGACATCCTCGCAACTCTGGCCAGCGTAGCCCCCGACTAGCCCGAGTAGCCCAAGCAGCCCGAAAAGCCCGAAAAGCTCGAATGAGCCGAAAAGCGCGAAAAACCCGAAAAGCTCTCTGACCGAGACATTCTCGCAACTCTGGCGCCGCCGCTCGAGACATCCTCGCAACTCTGGCCACCGTAGCCCGAGTAGCCCGAATAAGCCGAAAACCCCCGAAAAGCCCGCCGCTCGAAGCATCCTCGCAACTCTGGCGCCGCCGCTCGAGACATCCTCGCGACTCTGGCCGGCGTAGCCCGAGTAGCCCGAATAACCCAAATGGGCGCACGGTTGACCCGAAAAGCCCGAAAAGCCCGAAAAGCTCGCCACTCGAGACATCCTCGCAACTTGGGCGCCGTCGCTCGAGACATTCTCGCAACTCAAGCTTTTCGGACTTTCCGGGTTTTCCTGGTTTTTCAAGCTTTTCGGGCTTTTCTGGCTTTTCGGGCTTTTCGGGTCAACCCACTTTTCAGACACCCTGGCCGACGCAATGAAAAGGGTAACGGTCGCGGGAAGGGGATGGAGCCCCGGGTAACGGCAACGGTTGGGCAGGGTGGGGCACGTCGGGGCGGGGGTGCGCTGCGATCGCCAAAGTACGCGCGCGAGCACCAGCACGTGCGAGGTGGGGTCCAGGCCCCCCCCGTACGCACGATCGTTACCATTACCTACGGGGGAAACGGGGGCAACGACCGTTACGCACCAGAGGATAATCAATTGCTCGATGCGGAGATGCCCCTACGCGCATGTAACATGTCTGTCACGCTTCGCTTAAGGAATTCTGTCTATGAGCATATGGATGCGAGGGCAAATCCGCCCAGGGGGCGGGGCGGCGTAGGCGGCCCTCAGAGCGGAGCGGCGAGAGCGGGGCGGCACATAACCGATGTATGGAGATATGTAGGTGACAATGGGCCCCCCTGCCCAAGTGGACAGGGTGGGCCAAGGGGGGGGACAAGGGGGGGCACCACCGTCAAGGTGAACGGCAGCGAGCGCGCCTTGGCCAGCCAGAACTGTGGCCAAAGCCAGCGCCTCCAGCCCACCGGGCGAGGGCACGGGGCTGGGAGCGGGGGGGAGAGGGGGAGATCACCACGGTCAGGTAGACAGCAGCGGGCGTGCCTGGGATGGCAAAAAAAAACGCTATTCTTTGATTCGGAGCCTCCAGGCGTTTGATTAGGAGCCTGCCAAATCCTCAACCTCCTCCCTTTCCTCCTCCTCCTCCTCCTCCTCCTCCTCCTGCTCCTCCTCCTCCTGCTCCTCCTCCTCCTCCTCCTCCTCCTCCTCCTCCTCCTCCTCCTCCTCCTCCTCCTCCCACCACTCACCCACACCCTCGATACGTCAATTGCACGTTGGCTCAACTATTTGAAGAAGTAGTTGCTTAACTTGTCATTCCTGACTTGAGTAGTTGAGCAAC